ATAAAAGGAGAAGAATGTGTGTTAAAGAGATGGAAAGAGTATTTTGAAAGTTTGTTTGAAAGAGAGGAAGTGCTGGTACAGCATCTGCCACCTTCCACGGAAACTAATATAAATGTTGATGAAAATGAGATAAGCATGGATGAAATAGTGAAAGCGTTGAAAAGTATGAGATTAGGTAAGGCTGCAGGGTATGACAGGATTACCGTCGAGATGCTGAGGGCTGGACAGGGCCTGGTGGCTAGTCAGCTGTACCGCCTTTTCAATCTGTGCTGGCGAAATGGGCAAGTACCGGGAGACTGGTGCAAAGCCGTAATCGTGCCATTGTATAAGGGAAAAGGGTCACAGCAGGACTGCATAAATTACTGCGGTATAAGCCTTCTCAGCGTCGTCGGTAAATTGTATGCGAAAGTGTTGATTGAAAGGATTGTGAATGAAACAGACAAGAAAGTATGGGATGCACAAGCGGGATTTAGAAAGGGAATGGGATGCACGGATCAGGTCTTTTCCTTGCGGTGCATAGCCGAAAAGTATTTGGCTAAAAACAAGAAAGTCTACTGCGCGTTCGTAGATCTAGAAAAGGCCTATGATAGAGTGGTGAGGAATGAATTGTGGTCAGCACTGTCCGTGAACGGTGTGAGCAGTATCCTCATACGAGCAATGCAATCTCTTTATAGGGATTCTAGTGCTTGTGTAAGGATAAACGGGGCATACACTGAATGGTTTAATATCGAAAAAGGTGTTAGACAGGGATGTGTAGCGTCACCGTGGCTGTTTAATCTGTTCATGGACAATTGTTTGACAGATTTAAAAGAGAATGAAAGTGGGTTGAGAATGAATGAGTTACTCGTCAAATGTTTTCTCTATGCTGATGACCAAGTATTACTTGCGTCTTCGGCCGAGGAGTTACAGGAGATGGTAACAGCTATGAGTGGAGCTTTTGTTAGAAAGGGAATGAAGATGAATGTAAGGAAGACGAAAGTGATGGTGTTTGAAAAAGATGAGGCAGTGACAGACTGCAATATCGTGATTGAAGATGAACAAATTGAACAGGTGAAAGAGTTTGTGTATCTGGGTTCAAAGTTTACAAGAGATGGAAAGTGTGAGAGTGATATCGAAAGAAGAGTGAATGCAGGAAACATGGTGAATGGAGCTTTGCACTCCTTTATGAGCAGTCGGAAGGTGTCTAACAAGGCTCGTTTGGCTGTGCATGAGGGGGTGTTGGTTCCGACACTCATGTACGGAAGTGAAACTTGGGTATGGCAGAAGAAACATGAAAGCAGAATAAATGCAGTTGAGATGAGAGCATTAAGAAGTATGATAGGAGTTAAACTGAGTGACAGGCTAAGAAATAGTGAGGTAAGGAAACGTTGAGGTCTGAAAGAAGATGTAGTGACAAAAATTGAGAAAGGTATGCTGAGATGGTTTGGCCATGTCGAGAGAATGAATGAAGAACGATTGACGAAAAAAGTGTATAAGGCGAGTGTGAATGAAAGTGTTGGAAGGGGTAGACCTAGGCGGACATTTCTAAACCAAATCAGGGACGTCTTGAAAAAAGGCCAGGTCAAGAGTACCCTAAACCGTAGAGCATGTATGAAGGGAATAATGAAAGTGGACGAAGCAAAACAAGTATGTAAGGATCGTAGCAAGTGGAAAGAACTGGTCTCTGCCTACCCCTACGGGAAAGAGGCGTGATTATATGTATGTAATTATTCTTGCAATGTTTATGTCTAATCTGCTAATAAACTGGCGCAATTTTGTAATGTCATTGTGGACGTCAATAGGGATGTCGATTCTTTCCGAAAAAGATCGATTTTTTAAATAGATTCGAATTGTAAGCTGATGTATCGATTCCCAAAAAATCGATTTCTAAAATATCGATATTTTTTTCATGTTTGCATTTATAATGTAAATATAAATCCATTTTATGAGAAAAAAATACCCTTCATCATAAAAATAAGGGGACATAAGGATTTCTGTATCTATTTTGAGACTGCTACGTCTCCGGCGCTGCGGGAAGAGCAACCTCTACGCCTTAGCGTAACAAATCGCAGGCATCCCTCCGCAGCTTCTGCTTGTTGGTCGCCTTCGGCGACCAGCCTCAGCCGCTCCGGCTCGTCCGATGCCTACGATTTGTTACAACAGGCGGAGGCTGCTCCCCCTACGCGCCTCCGGCTCTATAAAACCACTCTAGGGGTAGGACAGACTCGTACCAGGTAGAGTCGGGGTCAATCAATTCGGTTCTTTGACATAAGTTGAACCTAACCTATTTTATTTGTTATCTGCCCTAATAGGTACTGTTAAATAAAACAAATTTCAATAAGAGATCATTTATCATGGTATCTTTCTTGTTTTTATTTACATTATAAATAGAAACATTAAAAAAATATAGATATTTTAGAAATCGATTTTTTGTGAACCGATACATCAGCTTACGATTTGAATCGATTTAAAAATCGACCTTTTCGGAAAGAATCGACATCCCTATTGACGTCGACAATGACATTACAAAATGGCGCCAGTTTATTAGCAGATTAGACATAAACATTGCAAGAATAATTGATTTTCAATTATTCTTTTCTCAAAAATTACGCGTTTCCGTATATTGAGACTTTGTGTGTGTGCTTATAATAGTGTAATCTTTCTGTAAAAATACGTATCAACACCAAACTCCACTGACGTCAATGGAAAGCTAAGCCTAGGTTTCCTTCAAAGAACGCCACAAACCACGGTCCTTAGCCACCTGCATCCATCTACTTCCTTCATCACTCTATCTAATGGGGGGCCGTCCTATATTTCGCTTACCGATACGAGACGGCCACTCGAAAACCTTTCTTCGCCATCGGTTGATGATGATTAAGCCATAATTTGGTATTTTGTGACAAAAAAATATTGAAAATTTAAAAGTGATTTATGAGCGTTATTATTAGGCATGGCCTATTTATCCTTAAGAACGAAAGTTACTTCATCATCAAGACAATTTTATGAAGATAAACTTTGTTCCTTATACCTAGTTATTTGGACGCATAGTTTAAGAGATAATGTAAAATTAAAATAATTCAATACTTGGCTGGGCGCGCGAACGACGCTTAAACCCTAGCCGTTATAAAATGCTTGAACTAGGTCATGTCGCGCACTTCGGACACGTGATGACGTGGGTGAAACCGCGGGGCACAGCTAGTATAGAATAAGGGTGACAAACAAGCACAAAGTCCACCTGATGGTAAGTGTCACCCTTGAAGGCTAAGTAGTATGCCTTGTATCCAGTAAAAAGGGTCTCTGGTTCTCTACACTCGCCATACGAAACACAGCAGCATTAAGCTGCTATTTTACGCTGGTATTTTGTGAGAGCGTGGTCCCATCCCGGTAGAGCCGACCCATTCGTGCTAAAACCATGATATTACTGCAGCATGGCTCTACCACGTAAAAAAATTCTCTACTCCCTACGAAGAATGTTAGACAGCAAAATTTATAAATAAAAGTGACGCTATGATTTTATCTATACATAATATAAATAACATTGAAGAATATCAAAATAACTTTATATTGAGCTGAGAAAGTTTTTAAATACCTATCCATTTTTCTGGGCTAATCTTCTTATTGTATTGACTGAAACTTGGCAAACAGAAAAAGAGCAATGCCAGGAGTGATCTAGTCTTTATTTTAACTGAAAAACTTGGGAGTTATTATTTTTTGAAAGAACGAAAAATTGATAAAACAAAATTGATAATAGATATTGCCCAGGGCAGCATCACTACAAAAAAGAATAAATAAAAACAATACATTTCCATCGTGGAGCTTATGGAAGAAATTTACCACCCCAACCCTGTACGAAATCTCTGTACAAAGGTGATCAAGAGTTAAAGCCTACCCTATATGGGCTTAAGAATATAGAATATCATAATTTTTTTTCATTCCAATTAAATAATCCATGCAGCAAGGGTTTATTTAATAATTACCTTACTGCATGGATTATTTAATAAATCAGCCACAGCACCACATACCAAGTGCAGACTTTTTGATTTTCTTTTTTGAAACTAAACCAATATAATATAAGTAGCAGCACGAAAGTCTAGCGGTGACCGTTATTGCACATAAGTCGTGCTGATTGACTTGTGCGTACGCACTCTTGGCACAATTGGGTCTCCAGTCACATTCGTGCAATTCAATTTGTGCATATCCCCTCCATGTTTCGTTCAGTGCTAGACTTACATGCCACGACTTGTAGTATGAACCATTTTGATACATAAATATTGAGTTATTAATATACAAACTTTTGAATTCTAGTTAACTATGAACTATTATCTCAATAAAACAATATATATTGAAAATATATTGTATATTGTGTGAATATATGACCTCAATTGGTCAAGTCACTCATTTAAAATACATGTTCACTATTAGCAATCATTGACCAACCAACACTTAAACAAAATTACCCATTAATTAATAAAAACTATTAAGTAATCAGATTTTTTTTACCATGTAGTGGTTACCAAACAGTTCTTGTATATATTATTGTAGGACCCACAACACAGTAGAATGATTGACCATGTAGTGGCGGTGTAAGAATATCCACTACCACATATCATACCTTGCGTGTTGTAAGAAGCAACAGAGGGAAACAAATCAGGAGATAGGCGGCAGCGTCTTCTTAATAATGGCTAAAAAATAAAAAAAACTGCGATACCAACCCACTTGCCAAAGCATTGTAACTATGGCAAATATTCCCCCTGAGGGAATCTATGGGGGAGGCCTACGTTCAGCAGTGGACTTTAATAGGCTGTAACGGTAATCAGATTGTTTATGACCAAGTTTAAATTTCATAAAGTATGACCATCTGCCAACATGCTCAACTTTGACCCTGCAAGTTCATTAATGCTCCTATGATTTGGCTCGATTGGATCACGGAATATCTACTACTAGCCGATTACTAAACATAACTTTTAAATAGCTGTATAAAGGAGGAAATAAAGAGCAATATTATAAAATAAAATACTTACATTTTTACGTGTCTTCTATAAATTGTAGTCTTGAACTTCTTTACCTTGTCTTTTCTCATACAAATGTAATTCACTCGATATAAATTAATATGCGCAGAATTAGAATTTGGTTCGAAATAAATTTCTTGATTTATGTTTTCGTTATGCGCGAAGATCATGATAATCTTTTTCCGAAACTTCCTTCTTTGTTCCTTTTTTTAGTGTAGCGACCCTCAGTAAACAGAAAAGCGAGCGGAGGTCTTAAGAATATTAAGACCAATGGGTAAACAAAACCAAGAAAGACACGGCCAAATTCTTATTAATCAAACTCTCTCTCCTAGAAAAAGAGAAGAAATGGAGTTCTTTGTATAATTTTCCACAAAATTGTGTTCTTATTTGGGTGTGGAATACACTAGATGTAGTACACTACAGTACTAAAACTACTTGTCATCAATAATTAATAAATGAGAACCACGAACCAAGAGAAACTCAAAACCTCAAGGGAAAGAGAACTATTTAATTTTAATAAACTCTTCGAAATTCAAAAAGAATATTCAATCAGATAATCACGCGCGAAACGCGAATTAGCGAAATAGCGAATCACATGAAATGACAAATGACCATAGGTATATAGATACGTAGGAAATGACGAAGTCAGTTACAGTGTGACCAACTTAAAAAACTCAAAATTGGAAATTCTGCTATATCATGGTGGCTGAAAATCGACCTAAACCTAATGCACTTTTCATTTCATTTCAGCAAACTTAATTCAAAAAATACATCATCGTGTCAACGTTGTCATCACATAAAGATTTCCTCTATAACTTCTAGGTGTTATTGTATGTATATTAGTAGTAGTGTATATATATTTAATGCTCTAAGATAAGTATACTCAAAACGAGAACAATATGGTATCTATAGGCAAATACTTACAAAATTGGAATCCGTCATAGCTTGAGTATCGGTTTCTTTTACATCAACACTCATTAAGGTGAAAATGGCAAAATATAAGAGGTTTTATAGTTATAGCTTTATAGTTTTTATAGTTAAGTTAGAGCATAAAAAAAGAATAACATCTGTACTGAGAAAATAACGGAAGATAAACCAGTAGCATATTTTAAATGTACATTTAATGCATTGTTGTCACAATTTCTTTTGTCAGTTTAAACGAGTGAGTTATTGCCATTAAACTGTGAAGATAAACAGTGTAGTTATCTTCACAATATACTCAATGATATATGCGTATATATGTACATACATTGGTATAGCGGCCTGTGTACGCATACATCATTGAGATTTCACTTATGTCGACTGTTTTTTTTTTTTTTGTGTAATCGTTTCAATTCATATTTAGATTTTTCAAAATAACTTTCAGCGTATCGGATAAAAAAAATATAAAAGTGAGTTTTCCTAGTGTATATACTATAGGTAACATTTTTTAAATATAAAAAAAAGGAAAATAATTTCTTATAGGTTAAATTCTACCAAAATGACAGGAAACAACCTCGCGTGGTCACCCTGACCGCGATAGATCATACGACATCAAACAAAAGTAAGATATTATTTCTTTACACGCAATGTCTCGGTTCATTTCAAGGTAGTTATTTTATAACTTTTATTATTATATGACATACAGCGACAGTGCAACATTTTAATAGTGTTAAAATATTTAAAGTAGTCTAAATTTGATTTCCCTTTCTTTATTTTCTTCGTGTTATAATTAAAAATATAGATTTTTGCGAGTTCAATTGCGTGGTACGGAGTACAGTCAATGAGCATATTTTATTACCTACATTGCTCCTTCCCTTTACTTCCTTTTTTCATCTGTCTCTTTCTAACATTTTAGGATGACGCAATTTCAAAGATTATGAAGTAAAGTGATGCGAATATGTAAAATATAAATCAATGTATAAATATAATACTATAATATGTATAATATGTACCTAGTCAGGTTATAAGTATTGTCACACAATAAATACTTTTCTTTTAGAATGCTGGCCACATAAAAGTTTATTGAATTCGAATTTCGAATTGTTCATGAAAATAAAACTGTATACCAAAGATGTTTTATGCGTTGCATCGTTGCGGTTACGCGCCAATTCAAATTTTTGACATACTGAAAAATTTGAATATAACCAAAAGATTCGTTTATCGTACCATCAAACGATACAATGAAGACTCTAGTGTAGATGATAGGTCAAGAAGTGGTCGCCCTCGGTCTGTTAGGACTCCAGCAGTGATAAAAGCTGAGAAGGCGCGAATTCAAAGAAATCCCAAACGTAAGCAGAAACTGTTGGCCCTTCAGATGGGGTTAAGCAGAACCACGGTGAAAAGGGTGTTAAATGAAGACTTAGGGCTTCGGGCATATTATATAAGAAAAACAGGACATCGTTTGAATGCTCGTCTATTGGACCTGAGACTGAAGAGATGCCGCGCTTTGTTGAAGCGGTACGCGGGAATAAAATATCGGGAAATTCTTTTTTCGGATGAAAAAATTTTTACCGTAGAAGAAAGCTACAACAAACAAAATGATAAGGTGTACGCACACAGTAGTGAAGAAGCGAGCAACCGTATTCCGCGTGTCCAACGAGGTCATTTTCCATCCTCGCTTATGGTATGGTTGTGAGTTTCTTATTGGGGCTTAACAGGGGTACATTTTTGTGAGAAAGGTGTAAAAACGAATGCATTTGTGTATCAAAATACAGTCCTGACGAACCTTGTGGAACCTGTTTCTCATACCATGTTCAATAACAGGCACTGGGTATTCCAACAAGATTCGGCGCCAGCTCATAAAGCGAAGAGCACACACGACTGGCTGGCGGCGCGTGAAATCGACTTCATCCGGCACGAAGACTGGCCCTCCTCCAGTCCAGATTTGAATCCGTTAGATTACAAGATATGGCAACACTTGGAGGAAAAGGCGTGCTCAAAGCCTCATCCCGATTTGGAGTCACTCAAGACATCCTTGATTAAGGCAGCCGCCGATATTGACATGGACCTCGTTCGTGCTGCGATAGACGACTGGCCGCGCAGATTGGAGGCCTGTGTTCAAAATCACGGAGGTCATTTTGAATAAACTTTAGTGTCATAAGAATAAGAAAGTTCATTTTGGTATATAAATGGTTACATAATGAATAAACTTGTTTCAATTATTTTATTTTAAACATGTGACAGAATTTATGACCTGACTAGGTATAATAATTATAGTTATAGGTAAAATGAATGTGTATCACAGTTTAAAGAGAGTCCAATAAAGTGTGTGTGGGTGTGTGTGTTGTGTGTGTATTACACATTGAATTTTTTTTTATAGGATAAGGGTGACAAGCGAGCACACAGTCCACCTGATTGTAAGGGGTTGCCTCCGTAGGAGTAATAGTGTTCTGTGGTGGTTGCTATGGCCCATAGATATCTACATCTTCCTCGTATGCGAATTAAAATGCAGATGCGTTGTCAGCCGTGAGGACTAAGATGGAATGCCTCTTTTCCAGTAAAAAGGGTCTCCGGTTCTCTACACTCACCATACGAAACACAGAAGAATTAAGCCGCTATTTTACGATGGTATTCTGTGAGAGCGTGGTCGTTCCCCGGTCGAGCCGACCCATTCGTGCTACAACTAAACAATTAATAGCTAAGTATAGCTGCAGCATGGCTCTACCACGTGTTATGGTGCCTTTCCACGCTTGCCAAGCCTCGGCAAACGTCTTCAAGCCCCAAGCATCCACAAGTCTCGTTTGGCGTTTGGAAGTCGTTTCCATGCTTGTGAATGCGTCAGTGTGCTACGTAAACCCAAGCATGCCGGACACCGAACTTGTGTCAGCTATTGCGTTTGGTTTAAAATATTTTTATTTGAAATACAAGCAAAGTAATACAAAAACAAGGAATTTTTGGCTTTTCAATTCTTTTACTGGCTTTCCCGTTAACTCGGCAAGACAACTCCAAGCATTTGCAACATTCTCTTTATTTTTATGATTAACGTCTTTGGGGTTCCAGATAGACGATTCGGTCTGGTAATATTCCAGAAACGATAAACTCTCTTCGTTCGACCAGTCACTCATTTTAAACAAAGAACTAAACATGCGCTCGTCGGAAATCACAATTACTACTAAACGCGCACTAACGTGTGAATGCGTTGCAAGCGCTTGCCGCAAGCGCCCTTTGATCTGTGTCCAAAACCGACACACCGACATGCGTTCACAAGCTCACGCAAGCCAAGCCAAACGCCCTCTTTACGCACTTGTGCTTGTGGATGCTTGCCCAGACTTGGCAAGCGTGGAAACCCGGCATTATATGTACTACGTGCTAGAGAGAAGAGAAGCTATTCCAAACAAAAATTGTGCGCTACTCTGTCTTCGTGCATGCGCGGGAGATAGTAGAGTCGCGCATGGGCGAAGACTTAAATTTAATATAAAATAAGATATTAAAATATTTTTTAATTATTATTATCCAGTGCTTGACCACATTCCCACCTGGTGGTAAGTGGTGATGCAACCTTAGATGGTAAATCGCGCTGTCTTATCGTAACAAAGCAAACGCCTATTCACTCTTGCCTTGAAGACGCCCAGATCGTATTCGGATGGAAATATAGATGCGAATATAAAAAAAAATATAAGAATTTAATATTAAATACTCTTAATTTAACATAAACAAACATATTTCTAAATAAAATAAAAACATAGTCAATGTTCGGATTGCGAAATCTAGTGCGTAGTACATTTATTTCGATGGTATTATCTATTACCGGCTCCGTGGCGTAGTGGCTTAGCAATGAGTTGCAACGCTTGGGGCCGCGGGTTCGAATCTCGCACGGAACGAGTATTTGCACGGCCTACAAATAATTGTTCCGGGTCTGGATGTTTGTCCTTGTGCAATATATGTTTGTAAACTGCCTCCACAATACAGGAGAAAATCCTAGTGTGGGGGTAAGGTTTAAAAAAAAAACAAGTAACAAAACAAGTATTACCCCTATCTTTTTTATCAACCTACAGTCTATTGACGAACATGAGCCTTTCCTTTAGTAGCTTAGTAGGCCTTGTCGCTAGGGCCAATATGGGAAACATACATCATAAGAGATGACTTTTATGCATGTCTTGCAAGACCACATTAAGTAGCAGCCATCACATTGAGTAGATTCTACTAAATGAAATCGCTGCTATGGTACAGATTGACTAATAGTTATAGCGTAACCTATGACTATAATTCACCACCAATCCCTATATTAGGTATACTCAACAAGTTGATGGTGATCGACCAATCGATCGCTGGAGACCGAATATTCGATTGTCAATAAATAAGTTGTCATAAATTGTCAGTGTCATCATAAGTAGACATTTATCACTTTTGACGTTGCTGGCGTAAATGGGATGGATATACCGCAATGTATGGGAATCCTTGTTTTACGGCATTTCGCAAAGGCACCTTTTACGACATCCATGGGGTGAAATAGGGTGATGGATAATCTTGCGCTGCAATCACACGCAAAGCCAATAAGATTGGTATAATTTAATTAGTGACACATCTGACTCACACTTCTCATTAACTTCTTTTGAATAATAAATTACTAAAATCAGATTAAGTAATAATTAATTATTACTTTATTTATCCT